TAGAGTGCTGTGGCATCACAGCTCACAGCAACCTCAAACTCTTGGGCTTAAGCAATTCTTTTGCCTTAGCCTCCCAAGTAGCTGGGACTACAGGTGCCTGCAACAATGACCAGCTATTTTTTTTTTTTTTACAGTTGTCATTGTTGTTTAACTGGCCCTGGCCAGGTTCAAATCTGCCAGCCTCACTGTATGTGGCTATCACCATAACCACTGTGCTATGGGCACCAACCTGTAATCATTTTCTTTTAAGCCTTCTGGATTTTGAGTTATGATTAGAGAACCTTTTTCACTCTAAGATTATGGAGTAAATAGTGTTTTCCCTGCATTTTCTACTAGTATGTTTGTGATTTTTTTTTTTTTTTAAGAGATAGGGTCTTGTTCTGTCACTTAAGCTAGAGTGCAGTGGTGTGAACATAGCTCATTGCAACCTTGAACTCCTGGGCTCAAGTGATCTTTTTGTCTCAGCCTTCTGAGTAACTGGGATTAGAGGTACGTGCCACCATGCCAGGCCAATTTTTAAATTTTTTTTATTGTAGACATGGGATCTTGCTAGGTTGCCCAGGTTTGTCTCAAATTTCTGGCCTCAAGTGATCCTTCCACCTCCCCATAGGCATAAGCCACAATACCTGGCTGAGTTTTACTTTTTCACATTTAAATCTTTGATTTAATGGTCAGGCAAGTTGGCTCATGCCTGTAATCCTAGCACTCTGGAAGGCCCAGATGGGCAGATTGCCCTGAGCTCAGGAGTTAAAGACCAGCCTGAGCCAGAGCAAGACCCCATCTCTACTAAAAATAGAAAAACTGAGGCAAAGGATTTCTTGAGCCCAAGAGTTTAAGGTTGTTGTGAGCTATGATGACGCATTATGGCACTCTATCTAGGGTGACAGAGTGAGACTCTGCCTCAAAAAAACTCCAAAACTTAAAAAAAAAATGCTAATTACCAGTGTACTAATGGGCTTCTGGCTTGCAATTTGGAAAACACTGAACTGTGTAGAAGTCTAGGATCATTATTCATTCATTGAACAAATTTTTTTCTTTTTTTTTTTTTAGACAAGAGTCTCACTGTATCACCATTGGTAGAGTCATGTCACATCCTAGTTAATAGCAACCTCAAACTCTTGGGCTCAAGTGATTCTCTTACCTCAGCCTCTTGGGTAGCTGGAAATATAGGTGCCCGCCACAACGCCTGGCTATTTTTAGAGACAAGATCTTGCTCTTAGGCAATCTACCCACCTCGGCCTTCCAGAGTGCTAAGATTACAGGTGTGAGCCACCATGCCCGGTTTTGAATAAATATTTATTAAGTATCCATCTGTGCCAGGCTTTGTGCTAGGTGCTTCAGCTTTAGTAAAGAACCAAACAAATGTGAGGTCTACCCTTAGGGGACTGCAGTCTAAAAGGTGCTTATCATGACCTGACAAACTGCCTGAAAGGGTGATTGAGTCTGTGATAGAGATAAGGCCTCCCTGAGCATGTCCTGTGTAGGGTAAGAGCTGAGGATGGGGTAGAACCAGCCATGTGAAGAATGGGAGGAATTATATTATGGGCATGGATACTTATGCAAAGGCCCTGAGGCAGAAAGAGTTTGGTGTGTTTAAGCAATGAGGAGAGAGCCTGGCTGAAGTGCAGTGATTCAAGGGTAAGTAAGGGAAGATGGACCTGTGAGTAGGAGTTTATATTTTTTTTCCAAGGGGATGATGGGAAACCACTGAAAAATTTTAAGCAGAGGAGTAAAGACATAATCTAATCGTCAAATTGAAGTAGTCACTTTGTTTTATGGGAGAATGGATAGAAAGGAACAAGAGGGTCAAGTGAGAGATAGTACTGTCAGGGACATGGGTGTTGACAATCCAGATATTCATGACACATTTTGGAAATAGAATTATAACACTGGCTTTTGGATGGAGTATGGAGTGGGGAGGAAAAGAAAGCAAAAATGATCTTGAAATAGGCAGACTTGGATTAGTGCAGAGGTCAGTAGAGTAGGGCCTTATGAGCTAAAGGCCCATCTCAGGCCCATTTATGTATAGCCCATGGGCTAAAAATGATTTTTTATAATTTTAAAAGTGATAAAGAAGAACAAGAAGAGAAAGTATGTGGCCATGTGTGACCAGTCAAGCCTAAAATACCTTGCTGTCTGGGCTATTACAGAACAAGTTTGCCAACCTCATTTTAGTGGGCTGTGGCGCTGTTCACCTCGATGAGGAGAGTACTTATCTGAGAATTGATAAAAATCATATTTATGAACTTTCCTTAAATATGTGACTTAGCTTCTTAGGCAGGAAAGAAGTATGCTATAATCCCAACTGTGATTCTCATTTTCACTTTGATTGCATATTTAATCAGCGATGTGCATTTTGAAACTTCTCAGAAGGGATGGGGTGACGGCTGACATTATTGTCTGGCTCCATGACTTGGGTGCTCCCTTTGATTGGAGATTTTGCCTGGGCAAAGACTACAACATAAGAATTCAATTTAAAATAACAACTCCTTCTAAGTAAGAATCTGAGAGTATAATTTATTGATCTTTTCTGATTCTAAAAGATTCATTTCTGGCCAAAAATGGACTTTTTCTTTTTCCCATTCTGTTATAAGCATGTTCGTTTTTTCAGCTCTGCCAGTGGGAAATGTCTTCCTGCCTTTGGGGGCTCTACTGATTGAGACTTGGGCTTTGGACCTTTGCAGCCTACTGCCGGAACTCTCTGGATGGCCAGTGGTATAGTTATGACGACAGCACAGTGGAACCACTTCGGGAAGATGAGGTCAGCACCAGAGGGGCCTACATCCTATTTTATCAGAAGCGGAACAGCATCCCTCCCTGGTCGGCCAGCAGTTCCATGAGAGGTGAGTGCAGCTGCTCATCCCGGGAGAGCACATTTGGGAAGTCACTTTAAGAACTGGCAGGATGCTCAATTGAACATCACTGTCCAGGAGAGGTAGGTAAGGATCTGAAGGTCAAAGTCCTGGCTGCTATTAGAGAAATCAGAGCACCACTGGCTACAGCTCACTTGTCAGGATGTGGATGGATATATTGGAATTCAAGAAAGGGGGAAAGAATACATTTTTTGTATCTATTGCTGGTGACACTTGCTAATGTGGAATCCCATATTCCCAGTCTCACTACTGCCAAGCTAGATTTAATTATAAACCCTAGTTAGTCCCCGAGAAAGGGAAGGGCAGTTACAAGGAACACAGGGCCTTTCTAGGAAATGTAGATGCTTAGAAACACCCCAGCAATTCATTTATTAGACAGCCTCAAAATAGCTTGGAAATATAGAGGAAAAAAAATGCACCAAAGCTGACTCTTGCGTGAGTTGGTTCACTCTGTAAACCAGCTGTTCTTTATCTTTGGGATGAGAGCATTAAAAAAATTAATCAGATTTTTTTTCCTAACAGTCGTTGAAAATTAGTTTGCAGGTCTGAATCAAACATATTTGCAAGCCTGGCTTCCAATTATGGAAGGCAGATATTGAAAGAAGAATTTAAAACTTTGCCATATTAGAGAAAGGCAGCTTTTCTTACTGTCCAGTATGATAATGTCTCTCTCCGGAGCAAAGGGTAGACATTGAAATGCCCTCTGTGAATGATCTGGTTTTCCTAAACTTGGGGTACACTTTTGATATACCATAGCATATTATATGTTCATCTGTGGGAACTCAGCCATGGGGATAGAATGCTGTTTTGCTGGCTCTGGCTATTGCTCTGGCTATTGCTGTGAGTAGAAAAGTTCTTTTGGCTTTGGAAAAACAGACAAACACAAAACATATTTAGGAAGCCAGAGTTGGTGACATGTAATTTCATGGAAAGGATTTCAGTACTCCCGAGTACACTTTCCATTCTGTGCCCAAATGCCTTTCCCTAAACTTTAAGTTTAGTCACAGGGTACCCAGTCTGGGTTTCTCCTCTGGCCATTCACTTTGGTTTCTGCGGTTCCAGGGCTCAGGGATGGGGCGGCGATCTGCCCTTGATGAACTGGGCCTGTGCTCCTACCCTGTGCTTCCTCTGCAGGCTCCACCAGCTCCTCCTTGTCTGACCACTGGCTCATGAGGCTGGAGAGCAATAGCAGCCGGCTGGGGAGGGGGAGTCTGTTGTCCTGGAGCTCGGCGCCCAGCCCTGCCCTGCCTCTGGTTTCTGACGCTTCTGTCACAAATAACCTCTACGATCAGGACAAGGGTAAGTTGGTTAAATGTGCTAATTTTGTTTTCATTTTCTGCAAAGACTTGTTCATCTTTCACATCGCGTCTCCTGGGACCTGCCCTCACTTCTCTGCCGTGCCCACTGCCCTCCAGCTGCAGGTGTGGCCTGCTGCCTTATGGGGAAGGGGGATGTGTGCCTTATGGGGAAGACAAAACTTAAGCAAGGAAGCTCTTACAACCTTGGGATTTAAAGCAGGGATAAGGGTGAGGAGGTGAATAATCAGAGAAGAAGGATTTGAGGCCAAGGGTAGGGAGAGGGTACAGAGGGCCCCATTACCTGGGGTAGATAGGGAAGATCTTTCTAGGAGGTGACACTGAACACAGTCCCAAGGTCCCCAGGCCTGGGGGGTATGTGTTGGGAGAGGAGCTGTGCAGGGTGAAGATGGAGTGTGGGACATGTGAGAGGCCAGAAGAAACCAAAGCTGCTGTGGCCGGATCAGAGAGATCAAAGAACAGAAAGTGAGGAGGTGGAGAGGGCCTGGGTCATGATGGACATTCTGGAATGTAGAGTGAAGTTTGGACTTTAATGGAGAGATTTTTTTTTATACTTTTGCTTTTATTCTTTTTCAAATTGGTACATGATAATTATACATATTTAAGGGGTACATGTGACATTTCAATGTAAGCATATAATACATAATGATGCAATCAGGGTATTTAGGATATCCGCACCTCCAATTCACCTTCAATTTCAAACATTCTCTTCTAGCTATTTAAAATATACAATAAATTATCATTAACTGTCATCTCTCTACTATGCTATTGAATACTGGAACTTATTCTTTCTATGTAACTTACGTTTATAGCCATTAAACCAACCTCTCTTCGTCCCCCTACCCCCACCCTTTCCAGTGTCTGCTTTCTAGCTCCATGAGATCAACTTTTTTAGCTTATTGAAGAGTTTTGAACAGGGAGGCAATTGATCTGATTTATATTTTTAGAACGTCTACCTTGCCTGCTGTGTGGAGAATCCAACATGCACAGCAAAATTGGGCACAGGAAGATCTGTTAGGAGACTGCCGTGGTTATATCTAGCTAGGAGAGGGCGCAGCTTGGACTAGGGTGTTAGGGAAGAGATAGTCTAACCATGGATGTATCTGGATTTGCTGATGCTGGGTGTAAGATGTGAAAGAAGGGAAATGGGCAAGGACTAATGGTGTAGTTCATGGGATGGGGGACAGCTGGGTAGGAACAGCATTAGTTTTGGAGGGAACTCAAGAATGTTTGACATGTTAATTTTGAGATTCCAATGTGAGATATCCACATTGACATGGTAACTAGGGTCTGGAGGAAAATATTTGAGAGCAGTCAGGTGGGTGGAATAAAAAATCCTGGAGCTGCCTCAGCTGCCCTGGGGACATTGAGAAGAGAGAAAAGGGTGAAGACCTGAGACCAAACCCAGGAGCCCTCCAGCACCCAGGGCAAAGGCTGAGAGGCCAGCAAAGGGACTGAGAAGGTGCAGCCGACTGTCGAGCGCGGCTGTGCTTTAGGGTAAGATGAGTAAGGGTGTGTGGGCTATGTGACTTGCTGAGAGCATCTGCTGTGGGTTGGGCAGAAGGAAGCCTGGCTACAGCAGGTGGAGGAGAGACAGGTTGAGGAAGAGGCAGTGTGTAGACCGCCACCGAGCAAGGGCGAAAGGAAGGTGGGCTGACACCCGCCGTTTGCTTTTCTTTTATAGGCGGGAGCTCATAGACCATATTAGAAGGTAGATGATCCAGTCTAGAGGGAGAAACTGACGCTGGTGCAGGGGTCAGGGAGATCACTATAGAAGCAGAGTCCTTAAGTAAGAACTTGTGTGTGTGTGTTCAGCCTCTGTGCTCCTTAAGCCAGAAAGTGGTAACACGGGCAAATTACTTTTTTACTTTTCTTATTAGCCCATAATTTAGTTTTTAAACAAAATATTTAATAGGAATATATAGAAATATCACATATCGAAATACATATATTTTACTGTGTATATATTGCATATGTTTATATTATAAATATATACAATACAGGGTAGCCATAAAGTTTATGTGCTGTTTTAAATTGTATACTATTTTAAATTGCACGCAAACTTTATGGCCACTCTGTATATACGACAAATATGTATTTTATGTATCTACAGAAAAGTGTGCTAATCACAGGTGTGCATCCAATAAATTATAAAATGAACCCACCTGTGAACTGGCAATACTAAGAAATGTAGCATTCTGGACGCCTTATCCTGCATGTCTCTCTCAGTCATCGCTCTTTCCCTCTTCCCCACGTGTAAACATTTATTCTGACTTCTAACACTGTAAATTAGTGTTATGAACTTTATGTAAATGTCGGTATCCAGTGTGCATTCTTTTTTGTGTGGCCTCTTTTGCTCACCTTTTGTGCAGCAGGGGTTTTTTTCATCGTAGTCTATCTGCAAATAAAAAAACAGATACATCGTCCTCTGCACAGAAGTTTGCTTATGTGTGTGAGAGAAAGAGAAACAGAGGCTGTCCTCTGTTTACTTTTGTTAATAAAAAAGCCAGAGCAGGAATGTGGGGAAGAAAGCGTAAAGCGTGAGGTGGGGGAAGAGACGTGATGGGTTATCTCTCGTGCTGTCTGCTCTTTGGCGGATTTGCACCATTTCCCTTATCACGATCTTCCCGATTGTAAGAATTGATCACATTTTGTTTATTTATTGTATCGTAGTTAGATTTAGGGGTTGCTTCTACTTTGGAGGTACTACTCGTAGTAGCGCAGTGAACAATTCTGTTCATGTCTTTGGTATACATACGTCTGTGTTTCTTCTGTGTCCAAAGCTCTGAGTGAATTTTCTAGGGGGTAGTATGTGAGTTTGCCCATCAGCTGCTTGTTTCTTTGTATTTATGTCCCCAACACATATAGCAGTTCCTGGAATAATATAGTTTCCATCGCTGTCATTTTGTTATAAGGCTAATGGGGGGAAAAAATTAAATTCCTGGCTGTGGACACTGTCTTGTGTAGACTTTGCTGGTTCTCCCCATATCTGTGTGGGTGTTTTCTGGGTATTGAGATTTCCTCCTGCATCCCAGAGCTGTGCTGCTAGGTGAATCGGTATGTCTCCGTGGTCCCAGCGTGAATGTGGGCGGGTGTGAGTCACCCTGTGACGGAAGGGCGTCTGCCCAAGGAGGATTCTCATCTGTGCCCTGAGCCGCTGGGCTGGGTCCAGCCACCCCCAGTTCTGAGCTGGAATAAGCAGGTAACTCCTGATCTGACTTGTTTTTATTCATCTTTCTTAGGTGTGTGTAAAGCTCATGTTGATTTCAATACTCAACATCAGAAGTGTTTTGACTCTTTCGAAGGGTGGTGATGTTTTCCTTACTAGAATTATGCAGTAGGAGCCTAACTCTTGTTTGTATCCAGTAGCCTGTGGGAAAATTGGTTTTTTATATACACTGTTGTTTTGCTTGAAGTAGCAGTTTCCAAGAACCGTGGACTAGACTATGTAGTGTGTGTCACGCTCTTGTTTATTTGTGAAAGAATACATAGATGTCAGACTGGGTTTAGGTTATTGTGGAATTCATTCTTCTGGTTCCTGATGGAATGCGTATGTTATCAAAAATCAGGTAACTTATTATCCTGGTGTTTGGCATTTGGGCTGCCGGTCTTTCACTATTAGACATATTGCTGATAGCAGTGTGGATGTGCGCCTGGGATTTGTCTGGTTTCTTTAGAATATGCTTCTGTGTAGACAGACAGACTACGCCGTGTGTTTCAGCTTGCTCTGCCTGGACATTTCTTTTTCCTTTGCATTTTTATGACTTCATGCTGAGGATAATGTCTATAAAACAAAAAAAGATGTTGTGAGTACACTGCCTGTGATCAGCTCGTCAGATCAACCCAGCTCTGTGTAATGGCACGGCACCCCAGGGCAGGTCTCGGTTCTCCTAAGGAAGGGTGTGTTTGACACCCTCCCGGAGGAGGCCACTTCAGAGGATGGCCGGGTTCCCAACAGGGTGTTCAGACAGATGTCAGGCACAGTTCTAGAAAGACTCCTCAGAGGCACAGAGTGGGGTAGGGAAGGGATGGTGACTGTTCTCCAAACCCTTATAGGCATTTTACTCCCACTATCTAATCCCTGGGAAAGGTGACATTATAGTCCTTGTACAAAGGGGAAAGCAGAAACCTACAAGTAAAGTTCCCAGTGGCAAGCTGACCCCTGGATAGTGACAAGGCTGAAAACAGACTTTTAGGTGCTAGAGTCTGGGCTCTGAGGCTCCTTAAACATAAATTCCAGATCAGAGTTCCTCCATTTGGATACTACTGAAAGTGTCGTTTCTTCCAAAGGCTGTTTTTCCTCAGGTGTTTGAATAAAATGGTGACCGATTTTGATAACTGGAAAGCTTTGGAAAGTCCAGCCTTATTTTCTTGGTTTTTTTTTTTTCTTTTTTGAGACAGAGTCTCACTATGTCACCCTCGGTAGACATAGTGTGCTGTGGCGTCACAGCTCACAACAACCTCAAACTCTTGGGCTTAAGCTATTCTCTTGCCTCAGCCTCTCAAGTAGCTGGGACTACAGGTGCCTGTCATAATGCCTGGCTATTTTTTATTGTTGTTGTTGTTGTTGTTGTTGCAGTTGTCATTGTTGTTTAGCTGGCCCAGGCTGAGTTCAAACCCGCTAGCCTTGGTGCATGTCGCCGGCACCGTAATCACTGTGCTACGGGCACTGAGCCCTTATTTTCTTGCTATTACTAAGCCTGGAAAAGATCAAAATACATAAGTTTTCAATAGTGGTTGGTATGACCACTTCTCCACACCCTGGTGGGTTTGGGAATTGTGGGAGAGGTTTGACTGTCAAAATTAGTAGGGGTGGTTACTGGCATTTAGAGGGCAAGGATGCTGAGTGTCCTATGATGCCCGGGGATGGTCTCATTCCGTAAAAACTTGCACTTACCAGCAGTCCTCTGTAGAGAAACACTGACGGCCAGAGGAGTTCATCTTTCCTGTAGCTGTGGTTAGAGGGTGTGCTAATAATGAATG